AAAAATATCAGCAACTTGATCATGAGACTTCACATATTTGAGCTCGACTTCCTTCTTGGCAATGCATTCTCTGATGAAGTGATACCTTGTATCAATATGCTTGCTTCATCGGTGTGTTCACGGGGTTGCAATCTTGCACAATGTGGGATCCACTTTTTCTCCTTCATCAAACTTGGACAATTTTGTCCCACTCTCCATCGGTGTGTTCACGGGGTTGCAATCGAGCATGTTGAACTTCTTCAATATCTCTTTTGTATAGCTTTCTTGAGAGATAAAAATTCCATCCTCCATCTGCTTCACTTCTAGGCCCAGGTAGTATGACATGAGCCCTACGTCCGTCATCTCGAACTCACGAGACATATCTTTCTTAAAAGCTTCAAACAAACTTGGGTTATTACCCGTAAAAATAAGATCATCAACATAAAGACAAACAAGCAAGATATCTCCATTAGTATGAACTTTAAGGTAAAGAGCATATTCATGGAGACAAAGAGTAAACCCATTATCTTGAAAATACTTGTCGATGCAACTATTCCATACTCGTGGGGCTTGCTTTAATCCATATAAAGCTTTCTTCAACCGCAACACTTTATCTTCATGGTTTTTGACCACGAAGCCCAATGGTTGTTCAACATAGACTTCTTCTTCAAGACAGCCATTCAAGAAGGCTGACTTGACATCTAGTTGATGGATATTCCACTTCATTTGCGCCGCCAAAGAGATCAGCAAACGAATCGTCTCCATGCGGGCAACTGGTGCATAGACTTCTTCATAGTCAATGCCTTGCCTTTGCTTGTAGCCTTTAGCCACAAGTCGTGCCTTGTATTTCTCCACATCTCCATCAGCATTCTTCTTTATTTTGTATACCCATTTCACTCCAATTGCTCGATGACCCTTGGGAAGAGTTGTTAACTCCCAAGTGTTGTTCTTCTCTATTGACTCAATCTCCTCCTCCATGGCTTGTCTCCACTTTTTGTTTCTAACAGCTTCATCAAAGTTCATTGGTTCACTGTCAGCAAAGAGACAACATAAAAAATCAAATTAGTAACTTCTTCTGTATCCTCATAAAGCTCTTGAATACTCCTTGTCCTTTGCGGTTGTTTATTTGAACTTTCTTGAGAAGAGGGAGATGCAACATTGGTTGGAGAAGGAGGTGGAGTTGTATCCTGCACAGGTTCCAAGGTCTCTGGTTCTTCTTCATCACCAAAATATGAAAGAAAATCATATGAAGTTTCTTCCTGAGCTTCCCAATCCCATGCCAATTCTTCATCAAATTCAACATCGCGACTTACCACCACCTTACCACATCTTGGGTTGTATAACTTGTATCCTTTTGAACTCGTATCATAGCCAACAAACACATGTTTCACACTTCGATCGTCAAGCTTCGCTCTCCTTTGCTGTGGCACATGAGCATATGCTATGCTCCCAAAGATTCTCAAGTGTTTGACACTTGGCTTTCTTCCACTCCATGCTTCTTAAGGCATTTGATCTCTTACATTTCCTGTTGGAGACCTGTTGTTCAAATAAACTGCACAAGAAACAGCTTCGGCCCAAAATTCCTTGAGCATACTTTTAGCTTTCAACATACATCGAGCCATATTAAGAATCGTTCGATTCTTTCTCTCTGCAACTCCATTTTGTTGGGGTGAATAAGGTACCGTTAGAGGGCGACGAATTCCATGAGACTGACAAAAGTCATTAAATTCGTTTGAAGTGAATTCGCCTCCTCTATCGGACCTTAGAGCTTTAATTTCATGGCCACTTTCTTTCTCAACAAGTACTTTGAAATTTTTAAAAGCAGCAAAAGCTTCAGATTTTCGGTTCAAGAAATAAACCCAAGTCTTTCTACTAAAGTCATCAATGAAAAGCAGAAAGTATCTACTTTTACCAAAAGAAGGTGGATTGATTGGTCCACACACATCAGTGTGAACAAGCTGTAGCGGCTTGGTTGATTTTGACATGGCCTCCTTTGGAAAACTCCTCCTGGCATGTTTTCCAAGAAGACAAGCTTCACACAGTTGATTTGGATGGTTTATTGATGGTATCCCATGTACCATGTTCTTTTCTCCCATTGATTTGAGCGCTTCAAAATTCAAGTGCCCAAATCGCATGTGCCAACACCATGATTCATCTTGCACATTAGCCTTCAAACACTTTGCATCAATTGTTTTAAGATTCAGAGAAAAAAATCTATTCTTTGCCATATGCACTTTTACAATTAGAATTCCTCTTGAATCTCTAAGCCAAAGATGCATATTTTTCATGTGGATGTCATATTCCTTTTCAAAAAGTTGGCCCAAACTCAAAATATTACTTTTTAATTTTGGCACATAATAAACATTTTGAATTAGTTTGTGACTACCATCTTTACAGGAGATCAGAATCGTACCTATCCCTTCGATTTGAATCTTCGAGGTATCTCCAAAAGACACATTATCTCTCACCGTTTTGTTGATCTCCACAAACTTTTCTTTGCATCCACACATATGATTGCTTACTCCATTGTCCAAATACCACGAGCTGCAATCATCCCTGTCTTCTTCCTTGAGTGCCAGCAATAACGTTGACTCATCTTCTTCTTTCTTGTCGTCAACAAGGTTAGCTTTCTCTTCAACAATGCTACGACATTCCCAAGAGTAATGACCAAATTTATGATAATTATAGCACTCAAGTTTTGATTTGTCATACCTTTGTTCATTATTTTCTTGATAGTAGCCACGTCCTCTTCCTCCTCTATGTCCATGACCACGACCTCTGAATGTTTGGTGGATTTTAGCTTCATTGCTGAAGTTGTTACCGTTACTTCTTCCTCGTCCATGACCGCCACGGCCTTGTCTTCGTCCATTCCCTCGATAGCTTTTTTCACCTCCATAATCCTTGAAGGATGCCTGAGTTTTAAGAAGTTGCTCCAATGGCACTTCTTGTCTCCTCTTGATCTTTTCTTCATGGGCCTGTAAAGAACCCTCCAATTGCTCCACCATCATTGAGTCTAAATCTTTAGACTCTTTAATAGCACATACCACAAAATCGAATTTAGGTGTTAAAGTGCGAAGGATCTTTTCTACCACACGGACATCTTTTATGTCCTCCCCGTATCTTCTTAATTGATTCACAACAGCCTTCACTTTTGAACAATAATCCGAAATGCATTCGGATTCTTTCATTTTTAAAACTTCAAAATCAGCCCTTAGAGTTTGAAGTTTTACCTTCCTCACCTTGTCAACTCCTTGAAGAGAATTTTGTAAAATCTCCCAAGCTTCCTTTGAGGCGGTAGCATCTGCCACCTTCTCAAACATGGCATCATCCAAACATTGGTGGATGAGCATGAGGGCTTGTTGATCCTTCTTCCTTGTCTTTGCCAAGACATCTTTTTCATTTTGAGGCAGAGCTTCCTCATTATTGGGTTTTGCATACCCTCTATCTACGATTTCCCACACATCCTGGGAGCCTAGAATGACTTTCATACGTAGACACCATTTCTCATAATTATCTTTTGTGAGACGGGGATATTGAAAAGACAGCGGACCATTACTCGCCATGGCTCTGATACCACTTTGTTGGGAATGAAAAAATAATATCCCGCCCAGGAATAATATCCACCGTAAATAACAATAACACAAGAGAGTAACAACGGCACCAAATATTTTAACGGGGTAAAATACAATACCCGAGCAGAGCAATATTACTACTATAATATTACAGCTTAGTAGTGTCAAGAGACTACTACAACTTCGAAAGAGATAACACTCTTTATTTTAAACACCTCACTACAATATTACTCCCACTCACTATTTTAGATATATTTAATATATAATCCACAGACTACAATCTGTGGATTACTCTCTCTACGCTCTATTGCGCTCTCTGATTTGGTGTGTTTGAATGAACGAACAAAGCTCTTATTTATAGGAGTGAATGACCGCCCATAGAACCAATCAGGAGATTGGATTTCATATGCAAGTTGCATATTGCAATTTGCAAATCTAAAACCAAATCTGTTACAAAACCAATTTGATAGATCCGCCTACCTTTCCTTTTGTTTAGCCAATATTGTTTATTCTTTCTTTATTCTTTTTGTTTCTTTTAAATTTAAATGGGTCCCACAAAAATTATGTAATATAAATATTGCTAATTAAAAAGTCATAATAAAAATAAACATAATCTAAAAGTACTAAGTCATGCTAAAATAAGTAGACTAATAAGGGAGTATTAATTAAATGACTAAACGCTAAAGAAAAAATATAAATAGGTTATGCATTTTTATCTAAATTATTGCAAACAAAAAATAGATATTCAATAAATTCTCGTTAGTAGTATTGAATTGAATGTTTTTTGTTAGCATTAGTATTGACTTGATTTTGGTTTGGGCTTTTGTTAACATTATTTAATTTACTAATATTAATGGCTATAAAACTTATTGGAACATTCAAAAGTTCTAAGTCCAACCTTGATACCTTAAAAGATAAAATTATGAATTTTTTTTACAAAATATTCCAAATTACATCACAATAGGCATATTTATATATTAAATATATCTAAAATTTCTATATATTTAATGTCGGGTTAGTTTGGTTTCAGTTGACTTTCTTTAGTTCAAACCAAACCAAACCAATTATGGTCGGATTTTTTTTTTCTAGTACCAAACCAAATCAAACCAAACCATAGTCGAGTTTTTTTTCTCAGTTGACTCGGATTATCGGGTTGGTGCGGTTTGTCGGTTTCCTTTGTACACCCCTAGCTGTAATATAATTGTAGTTTCTTTTACCACCATGGTATGATCCCTCTTCTCATTCCAAATCCTTTAGATTGGGATAGTTGCCTTCGGGCTCTGCACTTCACAATAAAAAATTCTACCTCGGCCTAGTAAACCACTGGCAACAACTGAAGTAGTTGTATATGAGATCAAAGTAACATAAAACAATGACATGCATTAAACCAAATTTCCATGTCCAAAACGGAAATAAACAATTGTTCAACAAATATAATGTAGACTGGACTTAAAAAGGAAAACAACATAAATGTTATCACAGCAACGAACACTTAAAACAACGACATAATGGTGTTCCAAAATGATCAAAGATGCTTGAAACCGTGATTGAAAAGCAACTCATGATTCTCAATCCCAAAGTCATTATGCTCAATCTGACCGAGTAGAAAGGCGTTTGGATCGTAAAATCCCTTGACGTGTTGGTCATCAAGAAAGCTAACTTCATGGTGTGAGAAAATGTCGAACTTATCAATGTTGACCAAGGTTTGAGCAACATCTTCTTCAACTTTTCTTTCTTCTTTAGAACCATTCTCTTCAATAGGAATTAGACCCTTGTTTCCATCTGTAGCTTCATTCACAGTTTTGGCCCCTTCTTTTGCTTTGTCCATTTCCTTTTGAGGAACAACTTCATGCATACCAAAGTTTCCAATGCTTCCACTATTTCCTCCAAGTTCAAATAATGTGCGTGAACCCCACATGACCTGGTTGTGATTTCCTGCAAATTTCATGACCAAATATCAAAAATAAAATCTTATCATCTCTGATGAATATAATTTATATATCTGACAGTATAAAAATTTTTTACACTATCACGTTTAAAATTGTGAAAACGAATTAGTAACGTTTACTTATCATAAAGATTTACCTATATTTAGCTTGTAATCACATGATTATCTACTATTTTTTAATGGAAGGTGCACATTATCTAATCCATTTGTTAAGATCATTTTTTCTAGGAAAAATTACCTCCATATAGAGAAAACTCAGCGGCAATCTCATCAGCTCTGGCCTGGTTAACGATCATTTCTACTTCACCTTTTTCTTCTACTACATAGTTGTTTGCTTGATCAGCATTCTCATGAATAGCTTTGCTTCCCTCGTCTTCTTTTTCTACCTTCTTGTCATGAGCAGCTTCAACGGGATCAAAATTTACAGACATTCCAAAATTCCCTTCGATTTGTAAGGAAAACGAAAAAAATGGTCATTCCTCGTAGCTAAATATTTTGATTATATAAAAAGTAACAAACACTATAGATGCATACAGATAGTTCTTGTGGCTTATCGAATGCTTTTGTTAGAACTAGCAGATCTTTTGACTAATCAAGGATTTTTATTTTTTTAGTAATATCTCGGGTTGACGCTGTAATTGTCGGAGTGCAAATATTAGTAGTTGATGCATAGTATTATATAAGATATTTTCTTTTGCGATGAAAAATAAAGAATGTGTTTGTGACGAGCATGCATGCAAGGTGTTACATACCTGATAGTGTAAAAAAGTTACACTATCAATGTAGTTTAAAATTACACTAAACGTATCATTTTTAATTACCATGCTAATCAGTTAATGCTTATCATAAAGATTTACCTATAATTATTTTGCTATCACATGTTTGTGTACTATTTTTTACGCTGAAGGTTCACGTTCTTGTGATTTATCTAATGCATTTGTTAAGATCAGTTTTTCTAGGAAAAATTACCTCCATATAGAGAAAACTCAGCGGCAATCTCATCAGCTTTGGCCTGGTTAACAATCATTTCTACTTCACCTTTTTCTTCTACTACATAATTGTTTGCTTGATCAGCATTCTCATGAATAGGTTTGCTCCCCTCTTCTTCTTTGTCTACTTTCTTGTCATGAGCAGCTTCAATGCGACCAAAATTTACAGACATTCCAAAATTCCCTTCGATTTGTAAGGAAAACAAAAGAAATGGTCATCAGTTAATGCTTATCATAAAGATTTACCTATAATTATCTTGCTATCACATGATTGTGTACTGTTTTTTACGCCGAAGGTTCACATTCTTGTGATTTATCTAATGCATTTGTTAAGATCAGTTTTTCTTGGCGAAATTACCTTCGTATAGAGAAAACGCAGTGGCCACCGCATCAGTTTTAGCCAGGCTAACGAACATTTCTTCTTCACCCTTTTCTTCTACTACATAATTGTTTTCTTCACCAGCATTCTCATCATGAATAGCTTTGCTCACCTCTTCTTCTTTGTCTACTTTCTTGTCTTGAGCAGCTTCAATGGGATCACAATTTGCAGAAATTCCAAAATTCCCTAATTATGTTAGGAAAACAAAAATAAGGTCATCCCTTGTAGCTAAAGATTTTGATTATGTAACAAATACTATAATAGATGCATTCACTAATTATATAGTTCTTGTGGCTTATAGAATGCATATTAATATATAACATAGTTTCTTTTTCTAGGTAAAATTACCTTCAAATAGAGAAAACTCAGCAGCCACCGCATCAGTTTTAGCCAGGCTAACGATCATTTCTTCTTCGCCTTTTTCTTCATCAGCATTCTCATGAATAGCTTTGCTCCCCTCTTCTTCTTTGTCTACTTTCTTGTCATGAACAGCTTCATTGGGATCAAAATTTGCAGACATTCCGAAATTCCCTACGATTTGTAAGGGAAAAAAAAAAAAGTTATCCCTTGTAGCTAATGGTTTTAATTGTGCAAAAATAACAAAATGCAAATAATAGTACTTGATGCATATTACTGTATACTCTCTCCATTCCAGTTTATGTGAACCTGTTTGACTGTGCATAGAGTTTAAGAAAAATAAAGTCTTTTGAAATTTGTGGTCCTAAACAAGTCAAAAAGGGGTCCAGAGTATTTGTGTGGTTATAACAGTTTCTCATTAAGGGTAGAATGGTAAGTTTAAGCTAAATTGTTTTCAAATTTAGAAATGAGTCATTCTTTTGTTGAAGTGGAACGGAGGGAGTAACATATTTTCTTTTTGCTCTAAACATAAAGAATGTATTTGTGAAGAGCATGCATGGTGAAACTACCTTCAGTATATGGGAATTGAGTGGGCAACTCTTCATTTTTTGCCAAGCCTACAACCACTTCGTCGTCACGTTTCTCTTCAAATGCAGAAACCTCTTTGCCATTTGTATTACCTTGCACGATCTTGGCCCCCTCATTTTCTATGTCTGCTTCCTTCTGGGGAAAAACTTCATAGCAATCCAAGTTTGCAGCAAAGTTTTTACTCTTCTCTTCTTGAAATAATGGTGGCATGTTGAGAGCATCAATGGAAACATTAGAGGAAGAAGCCTTGTCGAATTTCTCAAGTTTCAAAGGACTTGGACTTTTAGTCACTACAAAAAATGATGACTCATTAATACAACTACAAAAGATAATGATCATTTAATAGCTAATAATTTTGCTGATGAAAATAGAACACAAACTAATGTTCTTGTGTGCGTGTTTTATTTAAGGTCTTCTGTGCTATTTTTTACTAATCTCCTATGAAAAGTGGGAAGGGAAGTCTTAGAGCAACGACAAAAGTTGTTTTCGTGTGATCTATAGCTCACGCGTTCGAGCCGTGGAATGATCAGCCGCTGATGCTTGTATCAGGATAGGCCTACATCACACCCCTTGGGGTCCAGCCCTTCCCCGAACCATGCGAGAATACAGGATACTTTGTGTACCGGGCTGCCCTATGAATAGTGTTGATATAACTAAAATATTATTTGTAAATATGACTATAAAACCAAATCTCCCTTGAAGTTTCACGTACTTGACTGAAATAAATTTTTTGGCTTATCAAATGCATCTTTAAAAGTAGTACTCCCTCCGTTTCATATTATATAAAGTACTCTGACGGAGTTTAAGAAAAAAGAAGAAGACTTTTGAAACTTGTGGTCTTAAAAGCTTAAGGGGTAAAAAGTTTGTGGGGCCATGACATTTGTGTGGCTATAAAAACTTCTCATTAAGGGTAAATGGGTAAAATGAAAGAGTTTAAAGTTGAATTATTTTCAAATTTAGAAATGTATCATTTGTTTTGGAACAGACTAAAAAGGAAAATACCTCATTTAATATGAAACGGAGGGAGTATTCACAAACAAATTACCTTCAATGTGCAACTCCTTATTTTTTGCCGAGCGCAAAGCCACTATGTGGATATCTTCTTTCCACCCATCTGTATTCCCTTGCACAATCTTGATGCCCTCATTTTCTTTGTCTGCTTCTTTCTGGGGAAAAATTTCATAGCAATCCAAGTCTGCAGCAAAGCTTTCACTCTTCTCTTCTTGAAATAATGGTGGCATGTTGAGAGCATCAATGGAAATATTAGAGGAAGAAGCCTTGTCGAATTTCTCAAGTTTCGAAGGACTTGGACTTTTACTCACTACAAAAATTGATGACTCGTTAATTAATACAACTAACAAAAGGTAATGATCATATAATATAGCTAATAATTTTGCTGATGAAAATATAACACAAACTAGAATTCTTGTGTGCGTGTTTTATTTAAGGTCTTCTGTGCTATTTATTTTTCACTGATCTCAAAGGGTGATATAACTAAAATAACATTAGTATAAATGACTACAAAACCAAAACTCCCGTTTCACATACTAGACCGAACTGAAATAATATTTGTTGCTTATCAAATGCATTTTTTAAAAGTAGTATATATTCACAAAGAAATTACCTTGAGCTTCCTTCTGGGGAACAACTTCAACGGCATACAACTTCTTAGAGCTTCCAATTTCTCCATTTTGAAACAATAATGGCGCGGGGATTGGATCCACGGGGAGATTGGAAGACGATGGCTTATAAAATCTCTTACGATTCGAAGGTTTTTTACTAGTTGACCCTGCAAATCAAGCCCATTTAGATAGATTAAGTAGACTAAACAAAGTACAACAACAACAACAAACTCAATTTGATCCCAACATGTGGGGTCTGGGGAAGATAGTTTGTACGCAGACCTTACCCCCTGCCTAATGCAGGTAGAGAGGCTGTTTTCAATAGACCCTCGGCTCAAGAATAGGAAGAGAGAAGCAAGGAAGGAAGAAAAATGAAAGAGAAAAAGTGAGAGATAAAGGATAAGTAGTATCAAATAATGCAAAAACGCTTACCCTTTGAATGAACCTTCTTGGATTTATCCGCATTGTTGTGGCGATTACCTAGGTTACGAAGATTGTTGTATGCCATAACTAAAAAAATTCTATTTTTATCTGGTTTCTCTGGTGTGGATTTGCTTTCTATTATAGCTTCTTCAGCACTGCTCTTTTGAATTTTCACTGCAGACTCACTGCTCTCCGAGTTTGAAGATTCTAACTTTCTTTTGTTGGAGGCTGTTTCTGAAGCCTCTCCGACCTATAGTTTTATTAACATATATAGTGTTAATTATAAGCATAAAGTAAAGTAAAAAATCAAACAATATTTATAAGAGTTTAATTTATTTACATCACCGGTGTAAGTAACTTTTGCACCATTAGGCCAACTTAATAAACTACCTGTTATAGCAGTTTTATTTTCAAGATTACAATCCGGCATTTCTAGAAAGCTTACCTATATATAACCTTTATGTTAGGAGGATGGGGTAAAAATTCTTTACACTTGAGGGTCGTTTGGTTAAGAAACAAGTTATCTCAGGATTAATTATTCAGGATTAATTATTTCAGGATTAGTCATCCCGGAATTGTTATCCCACCCTCCTGTATTAGAGGTAAAAATAACACTACAATCCCGGGATAACTAATTCCGGAATTAATTATACTGCGATTTGTCTCAACCAAACGTGGGATAAACTCATTTCAAATTTAATCAAGGGATTAATTGTTTCTTATCTCTCGTACCAAACGAGCCCTTACGGATAACTTAAACTCTACTTGTAATAACTCATTTAATGTAACTGCTTACCACAAACTCGGTTGCTACATTCTCTTCTTTGTTTTGATTATCCGAGTTCATGAGGTTGTTGTATGCAATCGCACCAGGCTTTTCGGTCACCATCGCTTTATTTCCAACAAGCAGTTCACTACTACTGCCCTTTTGTTTCTTTGCTGCAGGTTCTTTCTCTGAGCTTGAAGATTGTGCTTTTCTTTTCTTGGTGTGTTGCTCAACCTTAATTAGTTTAATCAAAATACTGTTGTAAGAATTGTGTAACAATATAATAAAGAAAGTTTAACTTTGTAAAATATTTCATAGCTTACCCTAAACTCTTTTACTTCATTGGTTTCTGGATCTACTTCTACCTTCAGTTTCTCGAAACCCTTGAATATGAACCTTCTTACATCCGCCACAGACCGGCATTCGGCATTTCTTTTCTCATGGTAGTAAAACTGCAACACAACAAGGTTTTTCTTAAGATTACAATTATAATTAATACAATATTATTAGTATAAAATTAGAAGTTTGATTCTTCATTTTCTTGATTTATCTTTTTGTTATAGCGTCTAGTGAATTAAAACAAAAGTCTAATTAAGTTCTATGCACTGACAATAAACTTAGTTACCGTATCGCAATGTCCATTTGGACGTTGTCTTGTTTCAGCAGTCCATCCAAGCAGTATGTCATTGTATTTGCTATTGAGTCCAAATGGATCGTTTGGTTGTTCTCCCGTCTATAATTCAGAGTACATAACAAAGTATTTAACAACATTAATATTTGTGTTATAAATATGACAAAGTTTTAAGAAAAAATTGAAATTTACAAAATCTTAAAAACCAAATGTACTAACCTTATTCAATTTTACTGTATAAGTGTTAGCTTCGCTTTCTGAAGGTAGAATTATGAAGCTAACAGGAGTGTAGCCTAAGACTTGAGCATTAACCAACCTTCTCTTCCTCGTAGTGAGTTGCTGAGGAGTTACTGGCTCATTCTGCAATAGAAAAATTGTAATCTAAAATATTTGATTGCTACATACACTAATTATCTGGAAAATGATAGCCCTAATTCGAGTGTAATAGACAAACTAATTAATACAACAACAAAAACAGACCCACTAGTTTCCCACAAGTGGAGTATGGGGAGAGTAAAATGTTCGCAACCTTACCTCGAAAAATTGGCTCCTTTACTGATTTGTGACAATACATATGAGAATGCAAAAATAATGTAATAAAATGGTACTGTATGAAATATATAATCGCACAACATGCCAATGGAAAAATAAATCTAAAGATCATAAAATAAATCACTAAACAACAATCAAATAATAATAATAATAATAATAATAATAATAATAATAATAATAATAATAATAATAATAATAATAATAATAATAATAAATAAATAAATAAATAAATAAATAAAATCATAACCGACTGACCAATATTGTTTGCTCAATCGCTTGAGATATCAGAAGGAGAGAATTAGGCTCTTGTGGTTCCTGTGGCTGTGGTGTAGAAGTTGATGCGTGCTGTAAAAACAAATCTTTATTATATATTGGAATAAACATAAATTGAAATTATCATGATGTAAACTAAAAATGATCAATTCATTAAATTTCATAACCAAATATTATGGACAGAATACATTTTTTGACAGCACCTTCAACCTAAATTATACTACAATAAAGAATTTATTTATATGTACACACCCATGTACACTAAGTACAATTAAAATCTTGTATCTACCTCTAACTTTACCTCGAAGAGAAAAAAGTTTGAAAAAATAAATTTCTACAAAATTTAACAAATATAAAATGACAAAACAATTGCACAAAGTCTCCTTAAGTATTTATGAGGGGTAATACATACAAAAGAGAACACGTAAGATGTGTCTTAAGAATTAATGAAAGACAAAATTACCTTTAAATGTTGTTGAACTAGATGTGCTTGCACTTATGACCTTTAGTTGGTCAATTAACTTTATTTATAACGCAAAAAGTGTAATTATTGTTTTTACTTAAGATCATTTTAAATCAAATAACAAATGTGTAGATTGCATCATCAAGGCATACTAGTTATTTAGATAATCTGATAGATTCTTGTAATATTGCATTAGTATTTGATAAAACTCCACAAACAAATCTAGCGTTGATGTTAGGATACGACCCTTTAACAAAAACAATGTAAAAGAAGAAAAGAACCCTAACTACAAGTAAATCTATTCTTATCTTTGTTTTTAATAAAATAGAAAATTGAATTTACTATTGTTTTAGATCTGATATATCATGTGCTTGTTTATCTGATAAATAAACATTAATCGGGGAATAACAAAATTAATTAAAGAAACTGTTTATTTCTTTTTATAATAATGTGATTGCTCGCCATCTTTTTGACAGACAAAAAAATATATGCAAAAAAAATAAAGAGAAAATATTTTGGCTAATTCCTTTGCTATTTTTGTTTTTTCTTTTCCAAATAACCAATTCCTGTTTGGATTGGAAAAAACTTTCAAAAATAGCTTCCGGAAAAATAAAAATAAAGACCGGCGGATGTTTTTAAAATAAAATTCTCTAAAATCAAACCCAAAATGAGGCATAAATATATTGATAAAATTTGTCAAAATAAAATCTATATATGCACCTCTAAAATTGTTTTCTATAAGCTAAACTGACAAAAGGAAAAACAAAAACATACCCAAGTGGCACCAACGTGTATAGAAATGCCCCCCCACACACACACACACACAAAAAAACACATACACACACGGACACATATAGATATAAGACCTTTGGATTTATATATAATTTTATATGTTTTATTTTCTTTGCCATTTCCTGTTTAGATTAGAAAAAACTCTCAAAAAAATTCCGACAAATTAAAAATAAATTAGAGACCTTTTGGATGTACATAAAATTTTGTTCTCTGAAAATCAAAACCAACAAAAAAATGAGGCATCAGGATTAAGATAATTTTGTCCAAATAAAATCCATATATGCAACAAACTATTCCTCTAAAATTGGTTTACACACACAAGCACATATAGATATAAGATAATAAAACGTAAAGCACAAAGCAAGAGAACGAAAAGGAATAAGTTGTAGTAGTATTACTGTTGTTATCGCAACATCCTCCAGTGGATGACTTGATTCTCCAGACGGTACTAACACCCATTTTGAGATATCATGAGCTTTTTGTTTCCCATCATCCTGAAAAAAAAGTTACAAAATAATTATTAAAATTTTATATCAAGTTCTCTAGAATTTTGTCTTATTTAAATTTATGACAGTAATTAATTTACATAATTCATAACAACTCCTGCTATGTTTTTCTCTAAAATGCCAATCGACGTTTGATTTTGCAACCATTTCTTATAAAGAAAAACCAAGAAAACCGTTTTCTTTGTGTAAGAAAACTTTTTCTAAGAAAAATAATTCCCAAAAAAATTGTCCAAACGATCTAAGTACTTTTACGGAATGCATCTTATTAATTCTTTATCTATACAGAACACATAAAAAATTCACTTTTGAAAGAAGAGTCTTAATTGGTGGACAACGTACCATGATTTTAGCGAAATTGATTGGGACATAAGGAATTAAATCACGACAGTTGTTAATTCCTGAAGAAGCCATTTTCTCTATAAGCAAGAGAAAATTTACTAAAGGGACTCAAAAATATTGAAAAACAGTGTGGTTTGAGGACTGGTTTATAGGGAGATATATATAGCTAAAATTGAGAAAAGGTGCCTTTTGAAGATTTGGATGCAATTAGTTGACAGATTACTCTTTTAGTAGGACATTCACCACATTAGGACAATTCTTTACAAGAAATTGGCCAATTTTTGAATAGTTGTTTTTAGTGATATGGTTATCTGTTAGATTCTTTTAATATACTTCTGTAGATGTGATCATAATTAATCCATGTAACTATTACCATTATCAACAATGTCAATTTGGTCTAACAATTAATTATTAAACAAATATGACTTATTTTACCGTTGCAATTAGAATTATGCCTAAATTGCATCGATTCTGATATTTTAGACATTTACATGTTAACAAGTTACTAGTAGAAGCACCTGTAGAAGAACTTACAATGTGAGGCTTGCAAAAGCAAATCCATAACGATTTGGGTAAGCTTTTTAATAATATATATATATATATATATATATATATATATATATATATATATATATATATATATACATGCTTGAAAATAGAAGAATTCACATACGTAATAAATACAGGGAATCAATGAATTTTAAAAACCGACTAAATCGATCAAATCGAACCATACCAAACTGATTATTAGATTTCTCTTGATAAAATCGTTTGGATTTTATATAAATATATAGTCGCACCAAATAATTACTAGATTCTAAATTAGACAGCGTAATTTGCTTACTGAATAAAGTATCCATCACTTGTTGGCTTTTCAGAAAAAATCTGTCACGACCCAAGTTCTCTCTCCGTGTACCGTCGTGACGGCACCTAGTCCCTATGACTAGGTAAGCTTAACATTACGGAAAAGGAACAAAGAACATAAAAGCTATCAACTAACAAGTAAATTTAAACAAGGAAAAGAGATGTCGCTCGACATTTACAATAATCACTTTCGAAAAGTATTTAAACTCTCCCAAATCCGGAATGTCATAAGTCACAAGCTATAGAAAGAAAACAGTGCTTCTAAACTCCAGAATCTATCAAAGAAGAAAATACAATAAGTCTTTAACTTGAGGAAGAGTAGATAGGGACTCCTAGATCCGCGAACGCGAAAGAAATACCTTGGAATATCTCTAGTCGTCTCGCCTCACTAGTAATGCAACTGATGTGAGGTACCTTGATCTGCACACGAAAAATATGTGCAGGAAAGGGCATGAGTACACTACAACGGTATCCAGTAAGTGCCAAGCCTAACCTCGATCGGGTAATGACGAGATCAGGTCAGGGCCCTGCTAGTATGTATACAATGAAATGAGACAGAATTAAATATTACAGTAAGGATAAATACTAAAATTAAACGAGAATGAAATCATAGAAAAACAACAGCTCAGTACACAGAGATAACAACGGGGGATCTCCCAGGATACCGTCCCGTAGTCTGAAACGTAAAGGTGCAGGGGGATCTACCGGAATATCGTTCCGTAGTCCCAAACGTAAATGTGCAGGGGGATCTACCGGAATACCGTTCCGTTGTCCCAAAGTAAATATGCAGGGGGATCTACCGGAATGCCGTCCTGTAGTCCCAAAGTAATATGCAAGGGGATCTACCGGAATACCATTCCTTAATCCCAAAGTAAATATGTAGGGGGGTCTACAGGAATACCATTCCGTAGTCCCAAAGTAAATATGTAAGGCCCCGAAAATTTTCGCTAAGTAATTTAAGATTTCGTGGTGTCACATAGGCTTATTATATATTTTTATGTGCTATTAACATGGTGTACATCCATTGGATTTGGTAAATATGTGTATAAGTCTTACGGTAAGTAATTTGGGATCCAAGGAAAGGCCTAAGTCTAAGAAAATTTGGAAAAAAGTCCATAATAGGCTAAAATTCCCAACGATCTTGCACTAGTCCCTACTTTGAACGAGCATATCTAAATATCTATAAGGTTCTAGGTGATGGATAATCTATTAAATGAAAGGCCTTCGAGTCTAGTTTCCAATGCTTCAAACCGTTCGTCATTTGGACCTCCTACACAAAGTTATGATCAAATTACCAAAAGCTGGAAAAATACGATTCTGTGTGAAATCTGCGATCGCAGATTTAACTCTGCGGAATAGATAACCATTCTGCGATCGCAGAATGGTCGCAGATTGAGACAGAACAACCCAGTTTTGGGCAACGAGTTCTGCGACGAATCTGCGGCCCGCATACCCATTCTGCGGTGGATTCTGCTATAGCAGACTTGACATCCGAGGGTTAATTTTCTAATTTTTATAACTCGACCCCATTTTAATAAATAGGCTTTAGAGTTCATTTTGGGGGCATTTTCTGCTGATTTTAGAGAGAGGTGAGAGCATTTTAGAGAGAGAAGGAGGAACCCAACATTTAAATCATCCAAACTTGCATCAATCTTCAAGAATCAAAGATCCCAATCACAAGTTCTTCATCTAAGAGGTAAGATTCTATACCCTAGGTTTTAATTTCGAGTTTGGAGTATAAGATGGGTTATTAAGGTATGATTCTTGGGTGTATTAATATTGTGTATACATGCATGTTCAACATAGGTTTATGGGAAGATTGTTTAACATAAATAAGTAAGGATTGGGTTAGGGAATGAAGAAAATTTTGGAAAGGGGATTTGAAATCAAGATGCTCAACTAGTATTTGATAAAATGCTCAAATGAGCTAGAATTATGAATATCTTCCTAATTTGTGTTCAATTTTGCTATGTCCCAAAATAGATTGAAGTTGCTAGAATTTCCGAAATATCGTAGTAATTAAAGGAAAGCTCAAGAAAGGTATGTATGGCTAACTTTAACTCTTGTAGGATCCCCCTTGTTGTGACGAGCATACGGTATGTGTACCTTGTATGAAAATATTTGAATTGATTGCCTTAGTTGATTTCCATACCACCAAGTTATATGTGATTGTGAGAAGTGATTTGATGTGCCTATCTTGTTATGTGCAAAGTTTGTAAAAGCTTGAGGATGACGACATGGAAGTATGTGTTTACTTATGTGAACTATTGGTGAATTCTTGTGATTTATGTGCCTTGAATGTTGTTGGTTAAGTCTTACGATATGATGGTGCAAGTAAATGGAAACAAACCAAATGTGGGTGTGTGATTGTGAAAGTGTTATGTGGTAAGAACTGAGAAACAAATGATGGAAGGAAATCGTAAATAATGCACTTGGAACAACTGTGGTAATAACATATTTGGCTTGTTGTGGGTAATCATTGTGGTGACATAAATTGCATATGAGTTGTTGAATATGATGAAGTGGTATTTATCGCTACGAAAATTCTTGTGAATTGTTGTGGTTGTTCTCGAGGATTGTTGTTGTTATTCTTTGTAAATTGTTGTTGTTGTTGTTGTTCCTTGAGGGTCATTGTTGTTGTTTCTTGAGGATTGTTGTCGTTATCCTTTGTGAATTGTTGTTGTTGTTGTGTTGTTTGTGAATTGTGATTGTTCGGTGGGATCGGGTTGCGCGCCGCAACACGAAGAAATAAGGTGTGGGTTGTGGTGATAAGGGTGGCCGAGGTAATAAGGGTGGCCGAGGTAATAAGGTTGGAAAGCGATCGAAATCGCTATTGAAATGAACTATGAACAAATTGTGAAATTATTGATGTGGAAATGTGGAAGGGGAAACAGGAGAGATTGTAAACTTGTTGAATTGCTCTTTCTTTGTGGATTTGATTGTTATTTCCATTATAATTACATGCTTGTTTATGAAGGAGAGATTGTAAAACTTGTTTGGCTTTGATTGTTTCTTTCACATGCATTTGATCGTTGATTCTATTGATGTCTGTTACTTGTGTGTGTTATTTGATTTTACTTGGGGTGAAGTTTGTTTATACATACCAGTACAATTCAAATGTACTGATGTCCTTTTTGCCGGGGGCGCTACATTCGTGTTATGATTGTAGGTGGTTCTATAGCATGTACTCCAGTCCACTGACAGTAGCACCTCCTCCACTTTCCATCAGCTGTATTGGTGAACGCCTTTCCTCTCGGGGCCCTACATGGCTCATGCCGCCTNAATTTCATAGGAATAATTCAAGCGAGGCAAAAATCACGTGCTCACAACAGTCTCTTCCCTACTAAGAAATTTTTAATTAATATTTTACCTGTAATATCATATTTGACTTTAAGTTATAACTTTGATTAGTCTAAAATATTAATATATATGTTCTTTGATTATTATATTCCAAATCTATTAAGTTTTCTTATATTTATTTTTTGTATTACATGCAATAAAAAAATTCTCTTTGTGTTTCAAGATACAAAATTTGAATTTTAATTTTAGTTAATAAAATTACTTATATTAGATATTTATTTTATATTTTAAAATTTTTAATTCATTATCTAGTAAGACTTTAATTTTTGGTGGTCCTATCCATAGTTTGAGCATTCTCATCATAGTTTTAAGAAATTTCTAATATAAGTAAAATAGTCTTTTCCTTTCATTTTTAATTATTATTTTTTTACTTTTGCTATTATGTTATCAGATATATGGTATTATCACAGTTTCATATGGCTTTTAATTAATTTGCCACTTTATTTAGTAATATTTTCCATTACTATCCTTTAATATAATATAGATAAATCTAGAATTTTTTTAATCTTAAATAAATATCTATTTTATTTTAAAAATATTGCTTGAATTCTTAAGTTATTTTAATTTTAAATAGTTTTTATTTCACTTTATTTTAATTCCAAACTAATTCTTAGCATAAATATTCTCACTCTATTTTTAATTTATTTTTAATATTTTTAAGTTCTTATTTTATCTGTTAGACATAAGTTGCATGGTATTATCCACAATACGATCTTTCTTATCATAATAGATAAATAACAACTTTCTCTTCTCAAATTTGAATAAGTTTTTATCATTTTTCTTTATGATGAAAGTTTTGATTTTTTTTCTCTCTATTTATTCCTTATTTTTGCTATTATATTATTAATACATAATATTTGTTTTTGGTAATTAAGTAATTTTATTTACCAAGGGAAAAATATATTTACAAGCAAAACAAAACCCATACAGTTGGACATCCCCAACTTTTTACATTCATCTTCTCTTTCTCCCTATCCCCTTAGTTACAAAAATAGACAGAAGTTAACTAAGGAAAGAAATTCATCCTTCTCAATTGCCCCGCAAGTTTCCGATCCCACTGTCCTCTGCAATGAACATCTTGTGTTATTAATCTGCTTAGAACTTCAACACTTCTCGACTTCTTTTGGAAGATTCTTAAGTTCCGCTCTTTCCATAAGTAGTACACACATCCTGTCATTGTTAATCTGTAGATTCCAGCTTTAGTATCCTTTCCATTTGCATTCATAACTGTCCATGCCAGTTCTTGATTCCATCCCATTGGCCCCTCTGTTTATTTCCCATCCATGTGAGCATTTTTTCCCCCATAGGGCAGCAGAGAAGTTGCACTTAAAAAATAGGTGCTCAATGGATTCATCGTCATTGTCACACAGAGGACAAATTAGCTCAGTCATCACACCCACTTTGCTAATCTATCTCTAGTATATAGCCTCCCCAGTGCTGCCAATTGTAGTATGAATATCCATTTAGGATATCCTGGATTGTTGCATATTAGTCTCTTCCAACTCACCTTTGGATAATCTCCTCTAAGTTTGTTGTATATCTTCTTGATTGAGAGGTGACTGGTCTTACAGATGTCTTATATACGTATCCTGCTTTCTCCAAGGTATCCTTTGCCTTCATCACTTTTTTAACCATCCAGGACGCTTTGTGGAGGGTCACACCCCCAAATATGTTTACCCTTCACATAGTAGCTATGAACCCATTGTATCCAGAGTCTATCCTTCTTTTGGCACAGGTTCCAGAAATGCTTGCATATTGCAGCTTTATTCAATAGGCATATATCGATGACATTGAACCCTCCCGCTGACTTAGGATAACACACATTATCCCATGATAGTGATGCCTTCTTTGTCATCTTATTGTCTCCCGTCCAAAGATAGCTTTTGCATATAGATTCAATCACATTAAGTATCTTTTTAGGCATTATAAATGTCTGGCACCAGAAGGTTTGCATTGAGAACAGGATACTTTTAATAAGCAGAAGTCTCCCTGCATAGGACAAGAATTTTGCTGTCCATGTTGTAACTTTTCCCACTATTCTGTCCACTAAAGGTTGGCATTGTGAGACTGATAGTCTTTTGGAACTTAGTGGTACACCTAAGTACTTTACTGGTAGTGCACCTTTGGAAATCCCCAATATGTTCAGAATAGCTTGTTCTATATCCTCAGGTACTCCTCCAAAGAAGATTGAACTTTTGTGTTTATTCACTACAAGTCCTGAGCAGTAGGAGAACTGGAGAAAACATTCATATAATAACTGCACAGATCTTATATCACCCCTGCAAAACAAAAGTAGGTCGTCAGCAAAACCTAGCTGTACAATCTGCAATTTCTCACATCTGGGATGGTAGTTAAAGTCCGGTATCAGCCTCAGGGTCTTCAATTTTCTTGTCAGAAACTCCATTGCTACTACAAACAGGAAGGGGGATAGAGGGTCCCCTTGTCTTAGTCCTCTCCTGGCCACAAATGGTTGCGTAGGTCTTCCGTTAAGTAAAATGGAATATGTTACCGTGGTAACACAACCCATAGTCCACTTCACAAATACAGCAGGGAAACCCAAACCTACCATAACTTGCTCCAGAAATACCCACTCAAGTGAGTCATAAGCTTTTTGCATGTCCAATTTCATCACACATCTTGGTGATAACCCTTTTCTTCCGTAGCCTTTAATCAACTCATGGCTTAGGATAATGTTGTCAGTAATTAGCCTACCGGGGACAAATGCAGATTGACATTTATCAACCAAGGTATCCATCACCCCTTGTAGTCTCTTGGTTAGTACTTTTGAAATGATTTTGTAGAGGATGGTGCAACATGATATGGGTCTGAATTCCTTTATAGATTCAGGATTCGGTACTTTAGGTATTAGTGTCACTGAAGTACAGTTAATAGCTTTAAGCATGTCGGCGGTGTTGAAGAACTGAAGGATAGCTTTTGTAATCTCCTCCCCAATCACAGGCCATGCTTTTTTGAAGAAAACAACATTCAAGCCATCACACCCTGGTGCTTTTCTATCATCAATATCCATCAAAGCTTGGTACACTTCAACCCTTGATACTGGCTGAATCAACCCTCTTTGTTGTTCCATAGTTAACAGTGGTCCTTCCTTAAGTACAGAAGGATCAATGGCAGGCAGGGTATTTGTTGATGTGCCAAGTAATTTCTCATAATATCCAGTTATTTCCTTTATTATCTCAGCTTCAGTATGGAGTCTCTCCCCCTGATCATTCTTAAGGTTCCTGATGTGATTCTGTGAATACCTGTGCTTCATGGAGGCAAAGAAGTAGGCAGTATTAGAATCACCTTCTTTTAGCCACTGAATTCTAGACTTTTGCTTGTATATGCTTTCCTCGATACCACTCCATTTCTCCAATTGACATTTTAATTCCCTTTCTTCCTCCATTAGCATGGTGTTCAGGTAGTTGGCACTTAACTTCTCTTGCACCTCTTGTAGATGTAGTCTGACCTCCTTAATCTTCTTATCTACACCAATGAACTGCTCACTATTGAGTCTTTTAAAATTCTGTTTAACCCCCTTGAGTTTGTCCCATATTGCTCCCATGTTCTTCCTATTCGTCTGTATGTTCCATCCCTCCTCAACTGCCTGTTGGAATTGTGTATGTTCAGCTATGCAATTGAAGAATTTAAAAGGCTTTCCTCCTCTTCTAGGTGATTCAGTGAAACTGATGCTCAAGGGTGAGTGATCAGAAAAGTGAGGCTCCAAAATATGAACTACTTGTGTGGTCATATTGATCATCCAATCTGCATTTGCAATGGCTCTATCGATTTTGCTATATGTGTGGCTATTTGTCCATGTATACTCCCTTCCAAATGTTTTAACTTCACAGAATCCTGTATTCATTAAGAATTCCCTGAAGTCTCTTGTCTCATATTCTTGTACAGGTGAACCATGCATTCTGTCTTCTTGATGTAAGATAGTGTTAAAGTCCCCCATAATGATCCATGGACCCTGTTGTATTTGTGTTATGCTTCGTAGACTTATCCACATGCTTTTCCGATCCTGAATTGAGTGAAGACCATAAACAGCTGTGAAGTGGAAACTCAGGTTCAGATCATATATCTTAGTCACCCCATGTATATACTGTATCTCTTTAGTGAGCAGAACAAAATCTATACGTCTTGGATCCCAGATTATCCATATTCGACCTTTATTGTTAGAGCTAGCATTGGAAATCCATCTCCAACCTTGAGCTATCTTCTGGATTATTTTAGTTTCCAACTTTTCTACTACTCTATGCTCCAGTATGGCTAATAGCCCTATTTTATTTTCCTTTATAACTACTTTTAACTCCTTCTGCTTATATGCCTTATTAAGGCCTCTGACATTCCAAGTAACTATATTCATGCTTGGTTAGGTTGAGAGATTTTGGCTGCCTCGTTCCCTTTGTTACCACATCTTGCTTTCATACTAGCATTACTCTGGATTTGCTCTGTAAGCACTGGCTCTGCATTACTGCTCATTTGATCGCTTAGAGGTTTAAACCCATTGGTTGTATCTAAGCAACTCTCCTCCCTGGGATTCTTAATTGTTGATTTGCCTCTTACTACTTGCCATCCATCTTCCTTCTGATGCTCATTTGTTAGTACTTTGTTGTTGCCTTCACCTATTTTTAGTTCGCCCTCTTTGTTCGTAGGTTGGACAGTAGTTCCTTTGGGAATATTTAATGCACATGTATTTTCCCTGCTCCTCCAGATTTGCTTAGGCCTTATAGTCCTCCTTGGAGCTGGTTGAATTGGTCGTTTTTGAGCTGGTTCATGGTTACAATTATGGCCAACTTGAAGACATGTTGTGCAATACTCGGGCTCCCATTCATATTCAATTACCTGCTCAAATACTCTTCCACAAGGGTCCTGCACTTTGACACTCCTAGGAAAAGGTCTGGTAACATCAATCTCGACAAGCAACCTAGCATATGAGATTCTAGCGGACGATGTTGCGCAATCATCTGCATAGAGGGGGTTTCCTAGTGCACTGCCAACTTTGCTTAAACATTTCATTGTCCAGCAGTTCAAAGGAAAATTTGGTAGCATGATCCACAATGGAACAGTGCTCAATACTTCCTCATACAAGTTGAAATCTGGAGCCCATGGTTTCATTATCACAGGTCTACTATTAATCGTGTGAGGGCCAGAATACAATACTTCATTTCGTTCATCCATATTGCTGAATTTGATCAGGAAGTAATCGTCATTGTGGTAAAATATCTGTGGTTTATCTACAAACCTCCAGTGGGTATTAAGAAACCTTTCCATAGCTCCAATCGATGGGGAAACTCCGATAACGTACATTATTATCGATGTTTCCATTTCATATTCCCTTCTTCTATATCTTCTGGGTCCAATTGAACAATTTTTTCTCCCTCGCGAATCATCGGGGCTATGAATTGTAAGTTCATACCCTTCGATGCCAGTTTGTTACCCGCAACAACTCCAGCCCAAGTCTATGAACCCATAGCCGGTTGATTATGCTCAAATTCCTCCTGTGATTCAGTTTGCTTGTCCTTACCATTAGTTACTGTCACTACTTCTTCATTCTTCTTCCTAGCTGGACTGGTATTCCCTGTTGACATTCCACTATCTGGGCTGGAGATGGACTCAATTGGAACCAATTTTCCCTTCCCCGACCCAGACGCTTCGCTGGTCGGTGTCATCACCTTCATCGTTGGTGTTGTTGGTGATTTCTTGCCGGATCCAGCAATCACTACTCCTTTCGGAGAACTGGTAGAAGCTTTCTCTGATAACCATCCGTCACCCCTCGGATCTGAAATCGAAATCCTGTTCGCGTTCCTCTTAGGTCTGCCTCTCCCCATTTTCAGTCCAGAAGCGCACGTTAGTCAAGCACCCTAAGCATGCGCCGAGAGAAAATGGTAAGTATAATATTATTACATTGTTATGTGCTTTCATTAGCTTGTTTAATTTAATATCTATTTCTACCACACTCATTTTAGTATAATACAGATAAAAATCAAAAATTATTTCAGTAGTAAATTTGAATCTATTGTTCATGTTTTGAATATGATTTTTCTTATTATATTTCAAGAAAGATTTTTTTTATCTCAAATTCAAAAAATTTACATCCTTCTATTTTTTAATTGGGCTGCATTATAAAAATTATCTTATGCTTTCAATAACTGCACTCAATTTAGATATTAATCATAAAAGTTAATTTCTTATTTGTTTGGTCACATTATATCTAATGATAATATTTTCACTATCATTTTATTTCTCTATGTACTATTTTTTTCTAAAAATAATAAAATTATGAAATGAAAGAAAACAGATCAAGCGGTTAGTGAATAATTATATTTTGAAAGCTATCAAAATTTATTTACTATAAGAATGTGAGTCAATTTTAATTTATTTCTACCATAAATTAAATTTTATCAAATCTAAGTTATTTTTATTCTTATTAAATTTGTCTAAAAATTTATTTAAATTATGTCTTTAAAAAGCTAAGTGACATTTTCTGAATACGCCACTTGGCTTAATGTCATGCCTCACTACCTTCCTTTTAATATAATATAGATAGAAGATATAAATATTTAAGTTTTTTCTTATCTTATAAATATACGTATACTTTATGTAAGATCTTATTTTACTGCTTGAAGTTTTAATTTATGAAGTCAATAAATCTTTAATATCTTAAGTAAATTTTAGTTTTATTTTATATTTTAACTTACTCAAAGTATAAATAGTCATAGGTTATCTCAATTTACTTCTTTCTATATTTTTTATTTTTTTCTATTATAGTTTTTTAATTAAATTTTTACCTCAATATTTCTAGCTAATTTAGAAGAAAATCTATGAGTGGATCAATATATATATATATGAGAGAGAGAGAGAGAGTTGTCTAAGATATATTTAGATTATGTATAAGATTCACTAAACTACTTCCCTTAATTATGTTTCCATTTAATTTTTAATAATTAATGTTATCCTAAAATTGCCAAGTGGCTTCATTTTAGCTTGTCACTTGATTTAACCACAATGCATATTATCATCCTTTTAATATACATATAGATAGGATATATAAAAACACACCAAAAAAATAAAAAATGATGATCAAACAATCCAAGAAAAGAAAAAAATAAGGAAAACTTTTGTTTCTTTTAGGAAATGGCAATTTGTCGGTACACTTTGTTTGCTAACTAGGGAGCTTGAAAATTGAAAGGTTCACCAATTTCTTCTTATTCTACTTTTCATATAGTCAAAATATTTTCAGACAGTTCAGATTCTTGCTATACTTATGAGTAAGAAGAATTGCAATTACTCAAGTTGGGGTGCGCTCCTGCTTCTGTGCAGAAAAGTACTGCATGTCCTCTTTTGCAAAAAATTTAGGTAAAACATTCAGTTTTTTTAAGGATTTAACCGATATAGTTTCATTGTATTTTAATCTATTATAACAAGTAACTTACGTTATGTATTTTGTTAGAATCTCACTTTTTGGCGTGCCCGCCTTCGAACCGTGGAAATAGGTTCTTGCATTAGTAAGGCTGCGATACAATAGAACCTTGTGATCCGGCCCTTTTCTGGACCTTGCGCATAGCGGAAGCTTAGTGCATCAATCTTACTTTTTGGCAACTTGTATTTATTTTTAAACTTGATAATGTCAAAATTCTATTGCACTGTGTGAGTATATAAGTTAAGCTCTTCTATTTATGCCAACTTTTCTTAAAGTATGTCCTAGGATCACTTATTAGGAGCAATGGACGTTACTAAGTTTCTAATATCATAATGAGAATACAAGTTATTTTCTATTTCTATTTGAAGATTTCAAATCCAATGAAATGATGACAGCCTTAGGTTTTTTTTGTTTAATAGACTTTCCACTTTGGTACTTTCTTTAGTGATTCTTACTTTTCACTTTAACTTTTTACCACATATTTAGCAAATGAAAGAGTGCAGATAAAGAAAGCAGGATGCTAAAAAAAGTAGGAAGTTTTCTGTCAATGTCATGTCACAGTTTCTAGTTCTTTCTGTTTTAAATAAAATAAGGCATTGCCTCTTCTTACTAATTTCTTTTATTATACTATCAGGGGTTGTTTGGTTGGAAGACAAGTTATGCTGGAATTAATTATCGTGGTATTCTTTCTTATTGATTGTTTGGTATGTTGTATTAATCTCCCGATTGTTAATTTTACTGCTTAATCCTAGGATAACTTATCTGAGATTGCTATTCCACCCTTTGGCAGGTGTAAGTTATCCCGGTACTATTTTTAATACTTATCCTAGGATTAGTAACCAAACAAGGGATAAGGCAGTACTAAATTTTTATCCCAGGATTATTTTTGCTATCCAACGTACCAAACGACCCTTAGAGAATCTTTTTTAATCTATAGAGGAACTGTCCCTTTTGGTACATCCGATAAAATTGGAACGATACAGCGAAGATCAACATAACCCCTGCATAAGGATGATACACACAAATCGAGAAATGATCCAAATTTTCCCTATCAAAAGAAATTATCTATAAAGGAATTGGTAATATAGAGTGCATTTCAATAAGTGTGACATCTTTTAGTTTTTTGTTTGTAGACTTCTATACTAATGCTCTATTTCTAATGCTTTTAAGCCAAGGACCACTATCCATCTGACAGTTAGTATGTTATCATTAAGGAGAAGGATCTGGTTTTATTTTTTCACAAAGTTTTTTAGTGATAAAGACATCTGAGCCAAATTTGAAAGCCATATATCACAAGTTAATATTTGCCTTTATTCCTTAAGATCAAGTTTATTATTTTGATCAATTATCTTTCAAGAAGAAATGCATATCCATAATTGTTTTAATTGTTTTGATATAAAGAATAGAAATATGAATGTGTAGTTGCAGGGACAAGAAGGGACAGTGAATCTTTGCTTGTAAGGTAGCTTTGATCATTCCCTCCTCAACACTTCTGTCCATTATCATAAGCTTGTTGCTTATTCAGAAAAACCTCGGACACGTCTCGTTGTGCATCTATATATATACTATGTTGTTCAAGATAACCTTAACTTTGCTGATTGACTTGCCAACATGGTTAACCAGGAGCAAAATTTTAGTTCTAAATTCCTTTTTGTGGCTGCTAGTTTTCTACTTGTAGTATGTATAAAGTATGTAAATCGTGCTCCATTCGATGAAGCAGGGAATCAGTTTCATTTTCTTGTTATGTTTTGTAGGATTGTTTGTTTTCTAATTTTGATTTTGCATTTTTGAATGGATATAATGTGACAGGGGAGAGATGGAAGATGGAGAGTGGACAATGGTGCAAAAGAGTGGGAACCAATTTATGGTGAATGGCCAACCTTTTTATGTGAATGGATTCAATACTTACTGGTTAATGGTGTTTGCTGCTGATCAGTCCACAAGGGGAAAAGTTACTGAGACCTTTCAGCAGGCGTCTGCTGTCGGTCTATCAGTATGCCGGACTTGGGCATTTAACGATGGCCAGTGGCGAGCTCTTCAGAAAACTCCTGCTGTTTATGACGAAGACGTTTTCAAGGTACTTGCTTATCTTGTCGCCCAAAATTTTCCTATATATACATATGCTAACCTTAAAAGGACTGAGGTAACGTGGTCAGTGGGGATTCATTTAGCCAATCCCATCTTGCTTGGATTGAGACATAGTAGTAGTAGTTGTAGTAGTTTTTGTTAAACGGAAAAGCTAAAAAGTATCGATGTTCCTGTTATTCAGGCTTTGGATTTTGTGGTGAGTGAAGCCAAGAAATACAAGATCAGACTGATACTATCACTAGTCAACAACTGGGAAGCGTATGGTGGAAAATCCCAGTATGTAAAATGGGGTAAAGCTGCTGGCCTGAATTTAACTTCTGATGATGATTTCTTTAGTCATCCCACACTCAAAAGCTACTACAAGGCTCATGTGAAGGTACTATTTTCCGATGTTGCTCGGACTCTCCGAAAATATTGCCGGATGCGTGTCGGATCCTCCAATAGTAGTATATTTTTGGAGGATCCGACACGGGTGTGGCAGCATCTTGGAGTGTCTGCGCAACATAGCTATTTTCTATTATAGTACCTTTTAGTGAACTCCACAATGTAGCATTGTCTTCAATGTCAAGTATGAATTTGTTTTCATCTGTTTTCTACAGGCTGTGCTCAATAGAGTGAATACCTTTACCAACATAACATACAAAAACGATCCTACTATTTTCGGGTGGGAACTGATGAACGAACCACGTTGTGAATCAGATCCTTCTGGGGATAAACTGCAGGTTTTTGCACTTGGCGCTTAGATGTCATTCTTTTAAACAGAAGTTAATGGAATACTAAAACATCAGTACCTACTGATATTTTTTAGGCTTGGATAGAAGAAATGGCAGTCTATGTGAAGAGTATTGATCCGAAGCATTTAGTGGAGATCGGACTCGAAGGTTTCTATGGTCTCTCAACTCCTAATAGGGCTCAAGTCAACCCCAATTCTTATGCTCAACAAGTTGGAACTGACTTCATTAGAAATCATCAGGTTCTTGGAGTTGATTTTGCTTCAGTTCACATATATCCAGACTCTTGGTAAGCACACTGAAATACTGCACTATCATCTTCCAGGATGTAAATTTTATGGATTTAACTTTTAAAGTTTTTAACACTAAAAAATTCACTTTCTAAACTGTGTGTTCATAAATTTATATTGGTTAAAATTTTAATGATTTTTCACGTATATATCTATGAGGGAGTCTTGGCATAACTGGTAAAGTTGCTGCCATGTGACCAGGGGGTCACGGGTTCAAGCCGTGGAAACAGCCTCTTGCAGAAATGCAGGGTAAGGCTACGTACAATAGACCCTTGTGGTCCGGCCCTTCACCAGACCCCGTGCATAGTAGGAGCTTAGTGCACCGGGCCACCCATTTCAATGTTTAGTATAAAAATACTGATTTCTGCTGAACCTGTTGTTTATAAGCTACATCTGCCTCTGATCATATTGTCATACCCCTAATTTGCATGACGGTCACTAACTTTCTGTACTGTCTCAGGATTTCACAATCGATTTCTGATGCTCATGTCGAATTCACCAAGTCATGGATGCAAAACCACATTGATGATGCAGAGAACTATCTCAACATGCCAGTCGTATTTGCAGAGTTTGGTGTTTCCGCGAAAGACCCTGGCTACAATTCAACTTACAGGGACACACTAATCGGTACAGTGTACAAAACAATCTTGAATTCGACTAAAAAAGGAGGGGCTGGAGGTGGAAGTCTTTTGTGGCAAGTTTTTCCAGAAGGAACAGATTACATGGATGATGGTTATGCAATAGTACTTTCAAAGTCACTCTCAACGTCGAACATCGTCTCTCTTCATTCTAAGAAGCTAAATACCTTCAATTCCTTCTGTTCTTGGAAATGCCATTGGGGTTGCAGAAAGAAACATGTCCTACTAGACGACTTCCAATCTCGTGATGAGCTTTAACATGTTTGTGTAAGAAGATATGCCATTTGAATCATGAGATGTTTGCACCAGCTGTAAAAGATTACTACATATATGTATCTTAATGTGGAACATAAATCAAGTTTGTCTTATAAGAAACAACTATAAGCCAGATTATGTGAATAAGGAATTTGTAAAGTGTATTTGTAAAGTTCATAGCTGCATTTGTTGCTGATTTACGTCGTTATACAAAAGCTATCGCCATGCCCTTGGATCTTTTTTTTTTTCTGATGAATAATGAATAATGATTAATGAAGTATTTTGCTGACGAAGGGGAGTCTTGGCGTAATTGGTAAACTTCATGTCATGTGACCATGAGGTCGGGTGTTCGAGCTGTGGAAACAACCTCTTGTAAAAATGCAGGGTAAGGCTGCGTACGATAGACCTTTGTGGTTCTGCCCTTCCCTAGACCCCGCGCAGCTCTTGCAAAGATGCAGGGTAAGGCTGCGTACAATAGACCTTTGTCGTACTGTCCTTCCCTCGACCCCGCGCAAAGCGGGAGCTTAGTGCGCTGGGCTACCCTTTTTGCTGATGAAATAAGCCTAAGTTCAATGTTGTGGTATGCCATGTTCCACATCTATCAAGTTTCAAGGCGTATAAGTGGCTTATCGAGTGAAAATACATTTTAGCTATATACAAAGGCTTCAAAATTCTATAAAATTTCTTTAAAAAGGGTGAAAGGTGACTCCTTTAAATTTAGTAAGTCTTTATTATTTCAAGTCTTTTCCTTTGAGAGAGTTCAAATACAGATTATCAAGGGAGAAAGAAGACAAGGTCATCCTTTGAAATTTCAAAATGCAACAATCAGCCATGAATCTCATTTCAACAAACAGACGACCTAACCAGTCGTCGTAGTATACACCTGATGCAAGGTCTAAGATAAGAAGCCTCTGAATCAGTACCAGAAAGAAGAAACAACAAATCAAACAACTTAAATAATAGAAGGATAGGTTTCATTTTCCTGATAATGACCTTAACTGACTACTGCATCCTATAGAAGAAAATGAAACAACATAAAGTGTCATCCTATAAATCCATCCTAGCAAAAAGGACTGCTCCTCTGGAGAAAGGATGCAGCAGGTCTCACGTAAGTATAACCCTGAAAAGGGTCCCCGTTATCCTTTGGACTGGAAACTGGAGAATCTACCAGTGACATCTCTGTCCAGCACTTATCGAAATTGGCAATGCAGTGTATTCCAGCAATTTCAGGACGGAAACTTGGCTGTATCTCCCTTGCCTCCAACTTCTTCCAGTTGATTGGTCTGAACCATTTATGGCCCTTGATATCGTCACTTCCCTTAAGCGCACTGCCAAGCCGTTTACTTGGGTCTTTTTGCAGCAGCTAGAGAATTGGGAATATAGATTAATCTTATGGTAAAGACAACAAAAAAACTAAACTGAGAAAACATGAATAGCAGCATTTCTCTATCCAGGCAGGCATGACACTGTTATTGTAAATAAGTCATGAAATTCCAGCCTTCATAGAACTGTCAACAAGTTAAAAGATAACATCTTACTTAACACACGGTACGAGGATGAAAAGGACAACTCCATCTGGTTTTCAGAAACAGCTGTACAAGTGACGTTCCATTCATAAAGACTCACAGAGAGAATAAGAGGAGATGAGGAAAATTACCCCTTTAAGCAGAGCATGTGCTTCGCTGGACAAAAACGCTGGCAGCTTGAGTTTGTCTTTAACTATCTTCTGCTGAATCTTTTGCCTATTTCCACCAGTGAAAGGAGGCTGCAAATACAGAAAGACAAAGCATTAGCAGGGAAATTACAATTAAGTTTTCTGAAGAATGCGGCATTTTCTTCCAGGAAAATAAACATGCAACTGAAGAGTTTCTTGCAATCAAAAGAATCTTAATATTTGTAAAATGGTCCAATCGTTTCTGCTAATGATAGATTCCTCCCCCGCCCCACAAGTGATAGAAGTGATATATTACAAATTATTTAGTAAATTGTGCTCCAAATTAAAGCGGCGACAATGTTCTGGTGCAATCCCCACAGGACATCCCTTTATTTCTGCATATGTGAATATAGTTTGAGATTGCAGGAACAGGTCAAACCTAGAAAGCTTCTAGGAACAGCAGGTGGCTCTTAAAGCAAGTCTAAGAACATAGTCAAGCAGAATTCTTCCATAAATAAAATGATCAAGTAATGCCTAAGACTTAAGATGAAAGGAACTTGTTCTACAGCTATATGTGCAGAGACATGAATAAAGATGCTGACCTTCCCGGTGAGCATCTCAAACAACAAAATTCCTACACTCCACCAGTCTGCAGCCTTATCATGGCCCTTCCCGAGAATAATCTCGGGTGACATGTATTCTACTGTTCCACACATGGAGTTTGATCTTGTATCCTCCTTGAATTGCTTGGCAAGTCCAAAATCAGTCAACATGGCCTACAACAAGTAAGGGAATTGAGTAAATTAAATGCATAACCTTTACATGGAAAGGAAAAAATTGGATGGGTGAAGACGCGCACGCATTACACACACACACAAAAATAGAGGGAGAGGGGTGAATATACATGGCCATCGACATCCACTAGTATGTTTTCCGGTTTGAGATCCCTGTGCATTATCCCATTTGCATGAAGGTGAGACACTGCTGATACAATTTCTGCTGCATAAATTCGTGCCAGATCCTCTCTGAGAAGCAAAGCAGGAGTTAAGTAATTCACAGTTTCAGCTTTCACAAAGTGACAGAAAGCAAGAAGGGAGAATCTACCTGAAAAGGCCTTGTTTATAGAGCTGAAAGAAGAGGTGGCCACCATTAATGAAGTCTAGCACAAGGTAAAGCCTATACTTTGTCTGCAAGTTAAAACCATGAAAAGGGTGTCTGATTATCAAAAAGAGTTCCAAAGTAAAATGACTGACTTACAATCATACAGTTCTAAAGATTCAAAACAGTACTATCCATGTGTGGTTGCTCAGTTATTGAAGACCTATTGAATGAGAAAGTCTAGGAAATCACCTGGAATGAGTACCTAAGCTGGACTACAAATGGGTGATCTATCTTTGTCAAGATATCTCTTTCTGCTTTCATATATTCAGCATGGTTCTTCTCCATAATCTTATCCTTTCTCATCACCTTCATTGCATAAATTTCTGATGTGCCCTTCTTTTTCACCTGAAATACTTTCCCGAATGCACCCTGCCCAACAACTTTCATGACTTCAAAATCTTCAAGGCAGATGGTTCCAGCTTTTGCTAAATCAGTGACAGACAGTTCCTGGTCTTCCTTAATTGTCTGTGATATAACATTCTCTACCAGTTCCAGTGAATCTTCTGTTTCATGAATGGTCAGCCTCCCAAGTTTGAGTGCTTGATTTTTGTATGAAGAAGGACCAACCAAGGAATGTGACCTACTGTGTACAATCTCTGGATCATCATAGACAAATTCACTTGTATCTGCTGGAAAGACCATGCTTTCACATACTCCATTACTAGCTTCATTTGAGGCCAGAGAAGGAGGACCAAAGACATCAGAGAAATCCAGTTCAAACTGCTCTGATGGAACAACATTGGGGGCACTCAGTGGTAAAAGCAACTGCCGGTGCAAGGACTTCTGCAAGTTAGTTTTTGTCGGAGCAAAGAGCTGAGAAGAGACCATGTTTCCGGTTACTCTTTGAGGGATGTAGATGGCCAAATATTAATACTATAGCAGGCAAGCCTTTCCAAATGCTTCAAAGGAGTGAACTACCAACAAAATCCTATAAATAGCCGCAATTGAAGTGAAGTCCACGTTCAGCGTAGCAGTTTTAAAGAACTTAGAAAGCAAGCACAACAAAATCCAGCAGAAAAATCCGTTCTTGTTTCCCGATTTACAGGAAACTGCAGATACCACAGTAGTTCTAGTATTCATGAAGATTCTGAAGTCAAATCTGTCGTACACGTCAAAACAGAGAGAGTGAGCAGCAAGTTAGGAAGATGTAGCAGTCGAATGCAAGTCCTGTTAATACTTTAGAAAATAGAAATTACTGGAAGAAAAAACCTGCAAAGGATGCAAACTCGGCGAACTATAGAATTCAATGCAGTATATAGAAATTCAATGCAGCACTTTGAAGAGATGTTCATCTCATCATTCAAGAAAAATGAAGAAAAAGAACTTACTTGACAGATTTATCCACACACACACACACAGGGAGGGAGGAAGTAATATAATGCAGATGAATTATGGGCATATGCTGCACTATCTGCCTTATAAAAAAATGCACTATCCCGTTAACTTCTGTAGTATTACCACAAGAACATAATCAGCAGATGAAATATACTTCATTATCCAGTGTGATTCTCTAATATTATCACACAAAAACATAATCATCAGACGAAATATACTGCACTATCTAGTGTACTTCTCAATCTCTATATATATTGCACAAAATTTCTCTCTATCTCTCTCAAATCTCCTGCATTATTAGGCACATCTAGCTTATATATACACACTCAAACATCAGGATTTAACAGAAGAAACCACCTACCACTTATTATTAATACTTTCTCTAGTCCTAAAAGGCAAGTCCTAATTGACAATAAGGAAACTAAACATCATTCTACTACACGTTAGGAAAATCTGCTCAATAGCATATTGAGTCAACGACAAAATGTTACTCGTATTAAATTACTTTCCTTTCGTTTCAAAACATGTCTAGTCCTATACCAAATTTAGGTCGCTCTTTCTTCTGCATTCCTTTTCTTTTATCCACAAGAAGGAGGAACAAAATACGGAGATTGTTAGAATGTCCCACACTGGTTGTCTCCTTACATGGTCTTGGCAACCTTCACCTCACGAGCCAGCTCTTAGGGTTGACTAGGCCCAATGTCCCTTTTCTTAGCAGAGATAACAAAAAATCTAACAACTAAGACTACGATATTACAAATCAGAACATTCAGATCTAATGAGTTCAGAGAATTTAAGACCAGTTCCAACTATTTGCAGACTAAATTGTACAAAAACAATAAAAGAAATTATTAAAGCATCATAACTAAAACTTATTAAGGTACCAAAACTACGAAATTTCAGCCAAACATCAAATATAGTGCCTATAAATCAACAGAATTATAACAAAATATGCAACAAAAACTTTTATCACTGGTCTAGAGAACACAAAACATGAAACAACGAGAACTTGCCGAATTATTTTATTTTCAGAAAGACAAAAAAAGTGAAAATCTGAGATCTGAACCAAACACATCAAAATAAGAAGAATTAGGGTAGAACCTGTACATATGAATACATAAATTCATAAAAGGTGATTTTTTTAAAATTCTAGATCTATACCTGACAGAATTTCAATTAAAAAATGCGTTCAATATTTTCTCTCTTTTTTGCCGAAAAATTTCAATTGCTAACAAAATAACGAAGATTAAACCTAAGAAGAAAACAGAAGAAAGAGAAGAACGTAGAAGCGTACCTTGGGAGAACGAAGATGGAGATTTTTTTTGTTTTCAGGAGAAAATTCGTTGTTTATGACGGGACCCGTCTAAAATGCAAAAAAATTCGCGTCGCCGTGTAAATATGGAGGGAGTGGTGCCTAGTGGGTGGGTGGGGTGGGTGGATCCGTGGATCACGTAACACGCCAATCAAAGAGCTCAAATTTTTTTATTTTATTTTTTGTTGATAATTGACTCATCTGATGTGGCGTCATTTTAGTGGCTTAAGTGGACCCGATATTCTTAGCATGCATGTTAAAGCTCAGCATATTCTTTGAGGATTCCAACCAATTGGAGGCCTGTGGTATGTGTTGCTTCTTCAATTTCCTTTATTTATTTTCTTGCATTTGTACGAAAAGAGTTTATCGAAACAGCCTCCCTATTTCCACGAGGTAGGGATAGGGGCCGATCTACACATTAAAATTTGGATGCTCGAGCACCCAGTGATCTCGACTCAAAGTATATATAGTTGCATAGAAAATCAAAGGAACCGAATATAAAATACCAGCAACCACCTTCAGAAAATGTGATGGATACTTTGGTTAAGGAAGGGCGCCGGAGGTTTATAGAAGATTAGGGAGCGAGAGTTCGAATCCTACACCCAACATGCCTCTTTACATTGGCAAATTATTATTTCTTATGCTCTTATATTTTCAAGTTACTTTCTCTTTTTCGTTCTTTACGGTTTTCACTAGCCATTTTTTTTTTACCCAATACTACTTTTTTAAAATTCTTTTTGCTGACTTTGTTTTATCTTTTTTATTTTTTACAAAATCTAATTCACTATAAAGAAAAAAAACTCCAGAGTTTGACCCTCCTGAAGACGATCAATTCCTCCCGGAGGGACAAACCCATCAACCCTTTTTATCGCCAGTTGCGTTATCCATCACACTTTAATTTTAAGCCCCCATAATATTAATAGTATGAGTTTTTTAGTTAACTTTTTTCATCATCGTGTTCAAATAGTTTTGCACTTATACAATGTGATTGGTAATAAAGTTATGTCAAAAAAGTTAAGCACCCACGAACCTAAATTCCTGGATTCGCCATTGGATAGGGGCAAAGTCAGCGTACACATTACTTTACTTATACCTGGCACTGTAGGAACACACTAAGTATATTATTATTGTTGTTGTTGTTGATGATGCATTTGTACCAAGAAAGAAAAATACTCCCCGCGTTTCTTGTTATGTAGCGATTAGTAGAGTCAAATTATTTAATTATTAGTTAAATTCGAACATATATTCTTTGAAACTTTTAAAGTATATTTCATAATATAATTTTATATAAAAGAATGTTATAAATCACAATAAAATAATTTAAAGTATTTAAAAAAATTGTGGTCTCCAAGCAAGTAATAGTGATCATATTGTTTGACCAAAAATATACATATTGGTTCAACCAATTAGATTTAAATAAAGAAGAGTTAATCTCAGCTAATAATAATATCTTAAAGATAAAGCCATCGGTGTTGTGTCAAATAACTTGTATATTTATCCGGATGACAATGAATATAAGCACTAATAACAGTATTCGATAATCCAAAAAGATGGAACATGGCATTAAGGCCTCATTTAATTTTATTTTTTTTTAAGATTAAGACGTCTGAATCTGAATACAACATCTGAATATCAAGATGTGTATTAAGATTAAGACATCTGAATCTGAATACACATCTAAATATATTAAGATGTGTATTAAGATCTGAATAGAAATAATTAAGACTATTTGATTTTTAACATCTAATGTATAAAATTTATCTTTATTTGAAAATTAATAAATATAAAATTCAAATAAAATAACTAATCTAATATTCTATCAATAAAATATATAGTTTTTTAAAATATGATAGTTGTTGGTGGTGATGGCTAACGAGTGAATGTCAACTAGAGGCGTTAGTTGGTGGTAATTTTGGTTAATGATGGTGGTTCATGCTAGTAGCTAGTAGTGATTGGTAGTGGTGGCGATTATGATTGAGGATGGAGGTGGTGGTTAGTGATAGTTAATAATGGTGGGTGGTGGTAGTAGTTGTGACTGAGGAAGGTGGTGGGTGGGTGGTGGTAGGTTATAATGATGGGCAGTGTCGTCTGTGGTTGTTGATGGTGATGGGGTAGTCGTGGTAGTTGAGGTGGATGAGTGTTGCTTGTGGGGAATGATGGTGGTCGGAGTGGTGGGGATAGTGGATGGTGATGGTCGATGATGGTGGCGGCTATGATTGAGGATGATGGTGGCATGGTGGTGGTGATTGAGTATGGTGGTGGTGTCATCATGGTGGAAGTTGATAATGATAGGCGGTGGCGGCATTTAATAATGAATATGTGATAGCATCTTAATGAAATTAAGTCTCTGTTATAGATCTTAACCTTACAGACCTATTCAGACCCGTTAAGTGGTTGTGAAGTAAAAAAAATAAACACACTTAATGACTAAGATCTGAATAATTAAGATTCAGACTTTAAAAATAAACGCACTTAATGTCTGAGATCTGAATGATTAAGATTCAGACCTCCATTAAGTGCAAACAAATGAGGCCTAAATAGTAATAAATAGCAATAAGTGGTATTTAAGTAAATAAAATGTGTGAGTCACCCGAAAAAGGGATGAGATCAGTGGATATTCTCTCTGACAATAATGAATGATTGATAAGCCTTTGAACACTTAGGTTGTTCTTGGATCCAGTGAAAACGCTAGACAAGAATCCTAGTAAGAAGGTTGTTTTTGTATGCTTGCAATAGGACCAGATCCTCTCTATAAAGTCAACGTGTTTTTTACAAATGAATATCCCATGTCCCATATTATTGTGTCTCTTCCTATTTATAGGGAACATGTTCCTCTAAACTCTAATAGTACATGCGCAGAGAATGTCTACTAGAATATTCTCTTTTGTGTCCTATCTTACAGCTAGCCGTTATAACTCTGTCTAAGATGCTCGACCTCGACCTTGAACTACGATGACTCTTCATCGCTTCGAGGCTACTTCGACATGGGGCAGATCTTTGTGAAGACCTTACTGGTAGCACGTGGCGGCCGACGAAGGCTATCATGGTGCTGATGTGGCTTGCCTATATCAAAGATTTTTTTGGCCTATACAGTTAGTCTCTTCACTTATTGAGGTCGTCCTTACGGGCGAGGTCGATGAGTGGATAATGTCGTTTGTGGTCAAGCTTACCGAGCTGGCTATACAGATCGTGGTCGTCGTAACGATCAGGCAACATGTCTCTTTGAGGGCCGCACATTTTGAATTCTTTGAATTTCCCGGGAAGTCTTTTGGAGCCATCTAGTCCAGGAGAAAGAGTGATGTCATACGTCATAATGATGCATTTTCCCGTTGTGTTGCATCGATTCACGTGCAACCCTTGATTGGTTCTATCATTTCGATCTCCGTGCTAATCATGGCATGTCGTTTCGATTTTGGTTCCCCCAAGTCTTATAAATAGGGGGTGATTCGTTGATTTTGAAACTTTCCCACACTCCTTCTACTTCATAAGTAGAGCTTCTTTTTCTTCTTCGCAAAACCCTTTTACCTATCTATGTTTTCTTTGATTCTCTATCTCTTTCCATAACAATGTCGGACCTCCCATCAGACATCCACATGGAAGATCATACCATCCCTCTAGATGTTATTTTTCCTGACCATGGGGAAGACGGCAGATTTGTCGTTGATGAGGAAAGCCTACCTATTGTAGAGGAGATCGTACCTCGATATGTTGATGCTAAACCCGACTTCCACAAGGGCCTGGAAGTGGTGACAGAGAGGTTTAAATCTACGATGATGGTTGAGCGGTTAACCGAATTCAAGGCTAGGCTCAGCCTACCTGATCACGTGGACTTGGTCCCTGCAGGCGACGACGAGGTACGGGTTCATCGTCCTGGCTTCTGCGCCCTTTACGCATATCCCTTCTTAATCGGATATACGTTCCCTTTATTGTTGTTAATAGAAGAGTTATGTCGCTACTACAATGTATGCCCGGTGCAGCTCGCCCCTTATATCTTCAAGGTGGTCATGATATTGATGAAATTCACCGAATTGGCCGATGTTGACATATCAGTGCGCCACCTGATCCATCTCTTCACCCCTATTTCTATCGAGAGATATTGTTGAATCTTTGCCATCGCGCGGGGGGGGGGGGGTAGGGGGGATGTTTGGTGATCAGGATGGATGACAAGGCTAGTCGGTATTTCTGGCTTGACTATTTCTTTGTCAGGACCGAGGCTGTACTGTCCGCCGTCGCAGGCTTCCCTGAGGCTTGGAACCCTACTCGTAAGTGCTCATATCGATATATATATATATATATATGTTTTTGTTTTCAATGTTTTCCTTACTCTGGGTCGGTTAATCGGTTTTCCTTTTTGCAGCTACTGCTCGACCTTTTCAGATGGTGACCCATATTGCCGATTGGGTTAGATAGATTCTTCCTCATACGGCGGGATATGTGATTGGTCGAGTTTTTCTCATAGATTCAGGCTATCTCTTCCCTCGGCAGGTAACCTATTCCCTGTCGTTGACGCTATGATTTCTTTGCCTATGTTTGTTACCTTTGCTGATTTATTCTTTTATCGTTTTTCTTTAGCTTCGTCCAGGGGGTCCACGAGGAGGTCAAGAGCTCCCACGCCCTCGTTCCAGAAGAGGAGGGCCACTACGTCTTCAGTCTCCGCCTCTGACTCAGCACGGTTGCTCCTAAATTTGTTCCAATTCCATCAGTCGCCACTTTCGCCTCTATTTGTGCTCCGGCTGTTTAGAATTCTGCCCCTCCTCTATATTCACTCATTGACGAGGACGATGAGAATTTTCCCAGTGATAGAGATTTTCAACCCCGAAAGAGAAGGTCTGTAGATATGGGTGACGGGGTCACTCTGGCCGTGGATGCGGTAGAAGGGGACTTTTCGTTGAGTGAGACAGTGATGATTCTTGTGAGCGATGATGTTGAACCAAGTCTCGAGGTTCCGAGGCTGGTGGAAGCTGATGTAGGCGTGTCTCTTCATTCCGGGGGGGACAAAGATCGAATGGGCAGCTGCTGGCGTCCTTGACCTTTCGCAGCAAGAGGAGGCTTCAACCTCTCGAACAACCGCGGATACTTCTTTGCCTGC